TATGGCGCCTTGCCTTCACCGGGGCAACTGTTGCTACCCTCCGCTCACGTCCCCGCCTTCTGCTAAATCCTGATTGGCTGAGGCGGGAGGCGGTCGTGACGTCAGGATAATTGCTGATCGCTCATTAGTTGCTACTCGATCTGTCACCAAACGTCAAAAGACCACATCTATCTTTTTAATAGACAGACCAACCAACAGTTGCCTGGGAAATAACTCTAAAATCGATTTAATCACCATTATGTAATCATGCTCAGTACAGCGGTACAAAGGTTTTGAGCCAACACACATAGTGTTTCTTATATTTTGACAAAATCAATGGCCATATTTCAAAGATATCTTTCTGTAAGCCCTCTTAAAAAAGTTTTTAGCCCTGATATACTCGTCATTCAAGTGAAGTGTATCAATAGACAACTTAGTAAAAAAAAATGTTCTCAGTTATATATTTAGGCATTTTCTTTTGTGTAACCAAATCTAAAGACCTATTATTTGATACCCTACCTACCCTACCCATTATTTGAGACCTATAATTTGATACCCTCTTATTCATTCCCTCAATAGTGAATTAACTATTATACGATGTCAAAGCAAGAAACAGTTACTAAAAACTTGTAATTTCTCAGGACATTGTGCATGTATGTCCTTGAAGACCATTAGAGGAAACTGGGCCTGTGGTAGATTAAAGTGACAGACCAACACTAACTGATGAGCAGTATCTGAAAAGGAATTTCTTCAAAAATATGAGATCCACACAGACCGACAGCTAATTCCTCCGCTGTTCCCCAAGCCGCATCAGATATCTTAACTAAGGAATACAGGGGGAAAAAACAGAACAAACGACAGATAAAATCCAAACAAGAGCAGTGAGCTGTACTTCAAGAAGCCTGGAGAACTATTCCATGTCTTTTTAATGCTGTTTTATGTTTCCGTATGAAACACGATGCCTAACAAATATGGAATATTCATAAATTATTTGTTGACTATTGATTTGTCAGTCTATTAATTCACCCCCAAAAAAATTTCAACATACCACGTCACCAGACTGTTGCATCCAAGTAATCATTGGATGGACACCATCCAATGGGCAGAAGAGCAGATAGCGAGACAAAGATTTTACAGATATACAGCAAAACCCAAACGGTGTATGAGACAAAAAGGCCAGCGAAAGGTCACAGGTGATGAGATTTCAAAGACCTCTGTTGACATCATCTCCAGCATCATTTACAAGTTACTATAATTTTTTTCTCTTCGTCGTGGCATTGTTGTCGCTAAAGGTCTCCCGTCTTATCTCCGGGCATGGCGATAAGCGGAGGTGAGCTGAGGTCCTTTCTCTGAGGCCTATATAAGTTGAGGGGCTGTCCATCAGGACAGACAGACCACAGAGGCACCCGTCAGCTCACCATGTGGAAGGCAGCTCTCCTGACCTTTGGCCTGCTGGTGGCGCTGGTGGACACAGTCCGGGGCAACGACGTCCACCCTTCGTTCTACGGGGTGAAGCTCTGTGGAAGAGAGTTCATACGCGCCGTCATCTTTACCTGCGGAGGCTCTCGCTGGAGGAGAAGTTTAGTAGAATCAGGTAAGGCCGTATTACAAAGTTATAAGACAGACTTAGACTTAGACTTAGACAGTACTTTATTGATCCCTTGGGAAGTCTCCCTCAGGAAATTAAGGTTAACAGAAGATACTGGAGAAGCAGCCGTCTCCACAGCGCCAGAATCCATTTTTCTTCAGAACAAAAAGAATACATTGGTAAAGCGGTTGTGGGAAGAGGGAGAAAAAAAGGCCCAGTGCCACGCCCCCTACAGGGGGACGTAACAGTGATTTAAAAAACACCTCGTACACTAAAGCACAGATACAGTCCAAATGTGCCATGTTATCCTTCAATAGAACCACAAAATTAAATGTATTCTACCTCTTTTCCTTCAGCTCCTGCTGGGGAGGAGATCTTTGATCCATGGAAGACAAACACCATCCCTCAACTGACCGGTGAACAGGATCCAACAAAGGCCCAAGCATGGAAACGACAGATGTTGGACGTGGCCTCCCTGGCGGCTGGATTCAGCCGCCCGGCTCCCTCAGCAGAGTCGGAGGAGGTGATGGAGGCTCTGAAGAGCGCGGACAGGAAGCAGCGGGACGCGGTGGTCGGACTGTCCAACGCTTGCTGCAAGTGGGGCTGCAGCAAGAGTGAGATCAGCTCTCTGTGCTGAGACCGGTCTCTTCTTGTCCTGTCGACAATGGAACTCTGCTCTTTTCCCGTGTATTTTTTCCTACCTTTAAATGCAGAGTGATGAAAATTTCACATTAATACGGAAAAGTGTCTGTGTTTATTGTTGACATAAATTGATATCAATTTTGACTCAGTTTGACAATGTTTTATGTAGGTTTTTTGAGTGTCTTGGCTCTAAAATGTTATTTCATAATGTTACAAAACTTCCACTTACTGTAAATCCCATTTCACAAGTTCAATACTGTCAACAGTTTTGAAATAAAGGAAGCAATGACGACTGTACAGAGTTGTGGCCTGCTGATGTTTTGAATGTGCATCGATTTTACAGGGAGACACCATATTTTGCAATATGACATATTTGCAACGCAGTGATTTTGTAACTTTTGTAACTAAGACACTTTGTCTGCTTTGTTCATTAGTGTTCACTGTAGTTTTCAACATTATAAATTAATCAATTGATCATGTTTGTAGTTATACTGAGACATGATAAAATAGATGATACCGAGTTTGACAAACTGATTTCTTCCCGTGCCTTCAGAGCTGTATTTTTCCCTTTCCATAGGGTCCACACCCTTCTTTCTCCATATAAATGGGCATGCTGGTGGGCTCAAACCAGCACCATCTCGTGGCCAAACAGGAAACAGAAATTGTCACAAAAATAACGTCTGTTTGGATGATTAAACGCGTATCACGTGCTTATTATTTTAAATAACTTGATTAAATACACAAATCCACACTTAAAGACATATTGAAATATATCTGAAACTCTTAAAAGAGCTTTATTTACGGTTCTCATAACAGTGTTTTTAGTACGGCAACCAAGGAGGACCAAACTAATCACCCGGCTTGATTGCAAAGCATGCAATCTCTGTCATATGCAAGCTAGCGTAGCACCAATACACAGCTACCGAGATTACCATTTTATACAAAGCCTCAGATTGCCGTGATATTTTATTTAATGTTACTTGTTAAAGCGTAACTTCACTTTAGTTTATAAACGTGTGGATCTACCGACTCGGAGAGACCAGGTAAACCC